CCGAGGAGTAGGCAAAATTAGCCGAACCTCATAAATTCTGGTGTTCCCTTTATTGTTGCTTTACTGTCTTATTTATTATTTGGTGGCTGTCCTAATTTTTGGTATAGTAATTGTGACTTATTCACACTATATACATTTGGCTTCCGCAACATGGAAGTGTTAAAAGAGTTTGTCTACTTTTCCAATTATTTTTTGCGGTGGTTGATTCGAGACTTCCCATGACTTAGAACATAGTTTCTATCTTAGCTTCCAAAGTTAAGAGATTGGAAGCTGCACGTAAATTTAAAGATGCAGTGAGTTCTTTCTCTATAAACTTGAGGGGTTTAGCTGAAAAATGCAGCGAGTTCTTCTCCTACTTTTGCAATTGCGATGGTTGATTCGAGACTTTCCATGACTTGAACCTAGTTTGTACACACACACTTCCATCTAGTTGGGTAAATAAAAAGATCGAGATAGAGTGAAGAATACCAAACATCCCGATTCCAGTCGGTAATACATTTTAAAGGTACTATCCGTTACTAGTAATCAGTAGCTGCAGCATCAGTGAAAAAATCTAGTGAAGCCTATGAGACTCTTTCACTAATCGCCACGTGGCGGACATGCAACCAAAAGCTTATGTTATTTTCACAAGGCACGTTTGGTCCTTTCGATACTCTTAAGAAATACAGTACTTCTTCCTGGCGGCGTTTCAGATGTTTTGTCAATTTACTTTTGGGTACTTCGATGGAACGCGTGATGTGTTTTGCATGAGCATTGGTGCCGTCTCCCTTAAACTTTTCAATGCTTTGGAACAAAACCAAGATTGGGAGCCCCCAACTCTTTCACCATGCTTCCCTTTTTCATTATTGGAAATAAAATGAAGTCATTATAAACATTGATTTTCTTTTCTTATAACACAATCATAAAAATGCTGTGTAGTAAATTTCACTTGACTCTCTTAATCTTTTGAATTTAGTTGCAAGCTAAGTAATATCTCCTTTTAAATGGTAAAGTGAACCTCTAGGATCTGAAAGTAACTGCTAAAAATAAATTGATCATTGTATGTATATTCAAACGTAAAAACCGACATACTTTGAAATGGTTTGAAGCCCTTTTTTTTTTCTTTCCCGATTATAGCATTTGCCTCAGAAATCTTAAGAAAGTGTTTCATCCAATTTTATTTGAACTTTTTGCAAAAAACTGTTTTTCAACTAATCACCAGAAAGGGAAGATCTCCAATTGAAAAAAACAGAAAAACTTATTCTTTTTGGTGTTTGATTGAAAGTTTTTCTAATAAAATTTTGAAAAAGTTTCTGAAACAAAATTTACAACTTATGACAAAGCTGTATTACGGAAATCAAGTCCCAAAAGAAGATTTGGAGAGATGAATGTGTTTAGTCAACCCTCAACAAAAAAGGAAAAGGTCAATAACTATAGTGATAGAATGAAACAGAAGAAATATAGGAAAAGAATAATAAATACACACCCTTCTGCTTCTCTCTCTCTCCTCCCCGGGAAATGACAACTGAGCCTCATGCAATGGGAATGCGCCTCTCTTCATTCAACCTTTTTGCTTCCCAATTACTCATTTTCTTTCCTCTATCAAAACTCTCTCTTTTCACTTTCAGTTTCTGTTCTTTCTCTAATGGCTTCTTCGCAGAACCGTACCCTCACAGCTCTTGTCATTTTCCAAAACTTCTTGTATCCTGGTATGTATCCTAATCTCTCTGTTTTCTCATGTTTTTTACGCTATAAACCCAAAATCTTGATATGGGTCGGTGTTAAAACCAAATCTTGGATTCATGTTTTTGTTTTCATTCAAATGCATAGATTTTTCTTAGCTAATATACTCTGTTCTTTTAACAGTGATGTTTAGGTCGGTGCATGTATACCGAACAGAAGGAGGAAAAGAAGAAATGGAAGAGAGGGAGTATTTGTTTCATGAAACCAGTAACTTTGAGGAAACTGGGTTTGCTCCAGTTATCACATTGCACAAATTTGATGTCTCTGCTCAGTTTGTGAGGATTGAAAATGGTGTATGGAAATGCATGTTTGTGTATGACTCGGGACGCCATCAATCCACCAGTACTAATGCTAGTCCTGACTGGCTTTCGTTTGCTGAGTACGTTTTCATTTTCTGAGTTTAAATTTTCTTGCTTTATCATCTTTAGTACACTAGGAAACTGGTCCTCTTATGCCCCATTTTATGTAATGGTGTTTCAATTGATACAGAGTTTGATATGATTATTTGACTTATACGTTATACTAATGATAAAGCAGGAAATGTTAAAGTAGTTGTTAGAAAGTTCGCTTTACAGAGAATGTGAATCAGCACCTTTTGCCTGTTTAGTCCAAACTTAATGTTGTAAATGACACAACTCACTTGATAAACTTCAATAGTTCCCTGAGTTAAAGGGAACAACTGAATTTTGTTATAAATAGCTTTTATATTGTGCATCTCCCTGGTGCTATTTTTAATGAAAGATTTTACCTTTTTATGAAAAAAGTTTGTTTGACATTGGAAATGTCACATCAAATTTTAAGCTTTGAATGTTCTTTTGATGAATTTGATTTTTTGAAAGTTGTTAGGGTGAGTAGAAATGGGATGTCAAATATTTTGGTATGACCCGAGCAGGAAAGGTGGCATACAAATTGGGAGGGAGAAAATATTTTTCTAGTTCTCTCGAATCTTTCTGAATTAATAATGATTTCATGACTGTGTAAAGTTTGCAGCTTTGCATGACTGGAGGTCATTGTTTATGTCATAGCAGGATGTGCCTGTTGTGTTCAAATTAGTACTGATAAAGTAATTTGGTTTTTGATTAATTTTAAAGTGATGCCAAGATGTTCTCTTTTTTCTTAATTCCCCTTAAAAACTATCCTTTTCTTAGTTGAACCCTTGAAAATACCTGTTATCTTTAGTTCTCTGGTAATCCACGACTCGTCATTCTTGGTTACTATCTGTAGTTCATCCTTTACTAAGCCAGAGCAGCTACAAAAGCTGCAGTAGATTCTGAAGAATGACTTACTTTGGCTATGCTCTGAGCATTTATAAGATGAATTTACTTGCCTGTAGAGGTTCTGATGCAATTGTATAGCCGTTTCTGGCTTTATGGTATGCTCCCTCAGCCAAACATGCAACGAAGGACCTGTGCAAGGCAAAGAAATTCTTTTTGTTGCATCTTATATATTGGTTCAATAAGAAGTCATGAGATTTTTCGTGCGACTAGAAATTCTTTTGATTAGCAAATGTGAACATAGGTGAAATCCATTTAGGCTCATAATACTCTTGCCTTGAAGTTTCAGACTAGTCATAATGGTCGATCCCTCCAAGGCTCCAACTGGTGCTACAGTTATCATTCACTGGGGATGTTATTATTTCTGTAGTTAATTTTATATTATGTGGGCTATTGTTACTGTTTGTGCTGTTTCCTATTTCATCTCAGAAATTGGAGATCATTTACTTGTCGTTCCATTGATGTAATTGTTTTTGTTTCAGCATTAAAAATTGTGTTTCCTGTCACTACGTGCATTTATGTGACTTGGTGATGTCCTTCTTTAAATCATTCTCTATTTTCTTACTTAATTATTTTACTTTATGTATCCAGAAACCCTAAGATGGATTTTATACCAACATTAGCCAATGATCTGCGTGCTATATCTGAGTTAGCACTAAATGTCGAATTCAGGGATTCATCGGGAAGGTCAAGCACTGAGGAAAGTGGAAGTAACAATAGTAAAAGCAATCAGCCAGACGTGAAACGCTGCGTGCCCTTTCTGGATCTTAACTCTCTCCCTTATTCAGACTCGGACATTGAAGAAAATGACCAAAATGTGTCAGGTTAAATTCCAACTTTGTTTATATACAGGAAGGTCTTTCAATTTCTGTATCAAACAGTTGGATATTGAACATGAAGTTCATATTAATAGCATACAGAAGTAAGCTGTATCTTTTCTTCATTGTTCATGCTGGATGCTTAGACATTCACTAATAACTAGATGAGATCATATTGAAATTCATGCTGGTTTATTTACAGTTAATCTGAATGGTGGTTTAGTGAAGCTTATTCTACTATGAATATGATCTTTCAAGCTAGGATTGTTTATGGCCTCAAAAGAAGCTATAAAAATATGTATTGCTGATTAAAATGGCGGATACTGCGAATAGTTTGTCCTATTTTGTGATGGATTTATACAAACAAGGAATCATTCAAGGCCTTTTATTTCTAACTTGTGGTGCTTCTTGGAAACATATCATTGGTACGAGTTCCGACATCTCATGAATTTAGCTAGACATTTGATGTGCAAAGTTTCTCGTGGTGAGTCATACATTTTCAATTCCTTTACCAGTAGTTCTCAAGCATTCACTAGGTCCCCGGAGAGAATGGTTTCATGCTCTGTATGATCCCAATCACTCAAGGCTGTCTATCTTACAAGAGCGGCATGGTTTTGGCCTCAGCTTCTTCATTATTAGTGTGTTTACTAACCAAGCTCTATAAAAGGGCTGCATTTAAATTAATGAAACATAACAATCTCCATCGGGGTATATTCCCCCTAAAAATCAAGTGATCTGTTTTGAAAGTAACAAACTAAACCACTTTTGAACAACATTCATATGTTGCACGGGAAGATGGAACTTTCAAGCAAAGAACTCATTATTTATGCGGATGTGTTTTACCATAGTAGATATATTTCTCATTATATAGTGGATCAGAGAAAATTTAAAATGACGGTTACTACAATGGTAACTCTGTGAAATGACCTGACCAGATATTTTCATGTGAATTTCTAGGTTTCCTATTAACGAATCACTCTTTATATTAGGTTACTTATATATTGATCTTACATGTATATGTACATCGTCACTCTGTTGTGTATACTTGTATATTTTGGTTTCCAAAAGGAGATATGTCTCTATAAATATTTTGGATCTTACGGGTTTAGGAATTTTTTATGACACTGGCTGTATGTCCTATCCTAACCACCGGTAAAAGTCTGTATTTAAAATCAAAAGCATTAACTGTTAGAAGTTCCTTTGTTTTATTGCCAGCTTTTGGCATTGGATATCACAATATCATTGTTATGGCGATGTATATCGTCCTTATGTTTAATTGGCAATCCAAATATTCTAAATGGACGTGGCAAAAACAATATTGTAACATCTAGCGATATGATCATACATATGTCACCTTTGATGGGAAGGACTTTGAGGCCAAGTAAGAGTTCATATATCACGGTGGACGGGAGATTTACATGATTTGCTGTAGTACCGCGTCTTTTGTGTTCTCCATCAGGCTGTACTGCATCATCTTAGCCGATTCTCTTTAAGATAGAATGTAGTTATAATATACTAAATAAAGCTATAGATTTAAAGAGCATTCTCTGGATTTTGGCTTTACTATGGACAAGGAACTTCCAAACGTGGATTTCGTAAGTACTTGATGGGTGGTTCTTATTTGTCACATAGCTCTTCAATCAGAGCATTTATTCCTTTTACTTTGGAAGTCATAACTCCAGCGCTACTTGCAAACACCTATGAGTTTTTGTTATATTTGCTATGCTTTGTGCATTTTCTTTTCTTCTTGATTTTGAATTATGTGTTCTGGATCATGGTTTTAATGCCTATTAGTATGATGCAAATTTCTCACTTTATTTGATAAAAAATGGCAATTAATTGATCCATAGACTTCAGTTGCATGCTTGGATTTCATCATTTCTCTTTTCTGTGGTTTTGCAATATGTGTGCTCGCTTCCATCAGTTTATCTGCTTATTATTTAGTAGTCTTTTACTGGTCTGCTCTTTTCTCTGTTTCAAAGAGGAAGGTACCTTCTGTCATCTGTGACATTATTTCCGGGAAACCTGGCACCTTGTTTTTTCTTTTCCTAGCTTAACTTACATTTTTAGGAGTGAAATGTGTGGACTTTATTCCAAAAATATTATATTTAGTTCCATAATAAGACGAAGTGTTTGAAGAGTAAAAACATGTTCGTATCTTTAAGGATGTCATAAAGTCTTGTCATTACAAATATGATTCCATATTTAGCTTATTTTGTTTAAAATATCGGATGTGTAAAGAGATGCTGATAAAGGAAAAAAACGGAGTGCATTCACTGTAAACTAGATGGACAATTTTCCTTCTGTGGTAGTGCAGGAGCAGTTCACTATCGGTTTGGGTCACCAATTCAGTCTAATGAACTTGGTTCGCGCTTAGTTTGTCCGTACTTGCTAAAGGATGTGAAAATTATACTAGGTTGGTTGATGAGTCAAAATTGTGTTGTATATTTTATGCATTTTTTCTGTTTTGAATGATTTGCCTGGTGTTTTAATTGTAATTGGCCTAATTTGTGGATTATTGTGGTGTTAGGTACCAAGAAAAACCAAAATGGAGCTAATGGAACTATAGTGCTAAAAGCAGGAAACTGAGCTATTTTGAGCAATAAAAGAAGGTGGTGTGGAGAACTGAAGGTTCAGCCGGCAGCTGGTTTTTCAGCACTATGCAGCAATACCAGCGCGCCGTGAGCTACCCAGTTGGTGCAGTGGACCTTCTCTTCTGTGCACCTTCTTCTTTTATTGCTCATCTGCTCCAAATAGCTTCAAATTCCTTCTTTTATCCTCCAAATAGTTCCCTAGCTTCATATTCGCTCTTTTTGGTACCTAACGCAAAGCTGTATAAATGCTTAAAGGATAGAGAATTACTAACACAAAGCTGAAATAAGAGACAAGCATCTTGATATGTTGTTAGTGGAAGACCGCTCTATGTTTTAGAACTGAGCTAAACACAACAGTGCAATAACAACTTGTTGATTCTATTTACCCTCTTTTAGTTTTAGGGCAGGGACTGGAGCAGTATCGGCCTTAATTGCCGCTCTGTATGGACTTATTTTCTTGGCTACAGATCAGTCTTAGTATTTTTTACTGCAAGGTAAATTGGGGACAACACAAATTAATTGCCTTGTAGAAAAGAAATCACTCTTAGGTATGTTAGTTTTTGAATGTTCTCTATGTTTTGTGTTCCTTTTCTTTTAGCAGGGTTAAAAGCTGCTCAGTATATGTTAATTATTTATACGTTGAACGAATATTTAATCTAATTCATTTTCTTGGTGTCCTAATACTGTTGGATACTATGACCTAAGATATGTTTAATTAGCAGCAGTTGCATTAAGCTAGTTTCTGTCTGTCTGATGTTACAAAAATTAGTTTTCTAGGAACTTCCGTTCTAATTACCAGATGTACCAGTCTTTAACTACTTTAACATGTATAAATGTAAACATTTTTTTCTCTGATAAAAGCATAGACACTTGCTAAAAGGATTATGAATTTGTAGAGAACAAGAAACGGAGGGCGGGAACCAAAGACATAGCAAGACTCGCTTTGGAAGATCTTTCCAAGTACTTTGACCTTCCAATTGTGGAGGCTTCAAAAAGTTTGAAGGTTGGACTTACAGTACTCAAAAAGAAATGCAGAGAGTTCGGCATCCCTCGATGGCCACATAGGAAGATCAAGTCTCTAGACAGTCTCATACATGATCTCCAGGTATCCTCTTCAACTCATGCACAGTTGCTCCTATTTCATCAAACACCCATTTTTCTTTTTTGTTTCAATGTTCTTTATTATATAGCTAGATGTAGGAAATCGGTAAATGTTACTTGGACGGCTCTACCAACTACTGCTCTTGTAACATTCGATATCTCTGCTTCAATGCTAGAAGAAACTATATATTATGATCTTGTTCTGATATTGGTTCACAAGTAAGATGACTTGACAATGTTTCTTATGTTTGTTTCATTGCTTGGACGTATGTTTTTGTAGGAAGAGATGCAACGACAACAGGAGGAAGACGAGTTAGCAGCTATCGCAGTGGAAAAGAGAAAAAGAATGATAGAATATGAAAGAGAAAGCATAGAAAAGAAGCCTTTCATGGACATACAGAAGGAAACTAAAAAGTTTAGACAAGATATCTTCAAGAGAAGATATAAAGCGAGAGTTCTTGAGAACCAATGTCGAACGTTACCACTGTTCTAGTGTATCGAACATTAGATAGTTAAAGGAGCATCGGAGAAAATGTAAGTATACATTAGCTAGCTAGCCTTTTCCCAGAGATGTCAATCCTTCCCATCATTTTCCACTTCCCTGGTGGCGCATTTTTGTTATTCTTCAACTCAGCGTCCTGTTCTGAGGGTGTTTAAGTGAACAGCTTGATCAAGTTATTCATAGGACAATCTGTGATTTGTTGTTTAACTGATGGTTTTGTTGCCGCAAACTACGCTTAATTGACTAACTGTTGATGCCTTATTTTGTTGTCAATTCAGCATAAAATTTAACACTGTTGGGAGCAAGGAGGTTGATTGTTTTGATTTGGCTGTAATTCAATTTATTTAATCATTATTTCATGGCAATTTAAATTTTCAACAACAAAATGTGTTCTATCACCTATGTATTAACTTGCTCTGATTTAGTCCGTGGGTTAAAGAAAAGATCAATCAGATGTAATCCAAACAAGCTTTTGCTATCTTAGTTTGATTTTTCCTTCTATTTCTTAGCAACTCGAGAAGATTGGAGACTCTCATCGTTACTGCAAAAATTTGTTTTTTTTTTCAATCCGCTAGGCAAGCGCCTAGGGCTAGTTTTCTATTAATAAAAAGAAAAGAAAATACAACAATTAGGAATAGTATAAATAAGGGGGACAATAACACCGATATTGTTACCCATATGCCTTGGCTATATAATCACTCCTCCGCGCCTCACAATGCCTATGGCAGCCTCATGTAGAGGATTCATGGTGTAGCTGCCTGCAAAGTCTCACGAGGGCATATAATCTCATAGCCGTGTGGATAATTTCCAAAGGCATAAGACCAAGGTAACACAAACCGGGTTAAACCTTATCTTACTAATCCTATTGAGGCGTAAAATAGCCTCACCTACTAGCATGCATGTAAAAAATAAGAACTAGAGAGTACCAAATATCAATGATCATCACAAAGTTTATAACATACTCTGTGATGATATTACAAATGAGTATACTAACATAATGATAGAATAAAATGAAGAAAGAATTAAATTGTTGTCCCTTCTTGCCCAAACTTGTAAATTCTTCAATTTGTAATTCTTTGTCATCACTGTCCCAGCTCTTCAAAATGTCTTCAAAATTCATGACTTCTTTTTTGAACGGTTTGACCTCGTTGAGGTAGTTGGGGCAACCTTCTTTTGTTTGGCAACTCTCATTGGAGGTCGCCTAACATTTAAAAAATCACTGACCTTGTCGTCCCAACTATTTTTCCTTGTATGTGCTTTCATTATTTTGCCGCTATGCATAAGAGATAAATCACCTTGTTTTGCTGCATGTGCACCGCATTCTTTCAAAACAACATCTTCTTCTCCTTCCTCATACATATCTCTATCCACATTCACAGAATGCAGATAGTTGTCGACGAGGTCCTGTGTCATCAAATCACTTCATTGTTGTGTATTTGCCAAAGCTGTCGTGTTGTGATGTTGCTTTATGACTTGCATTTTATTCCTGTTTTTACTCACATTTCCTGTACTAACAATTTGCATTGAACTTACTAAGTTTCGATGTGTAGAGTCTGCCAATGCATCAAGTAGTTTTCTATCTTCCTCAGAAATCTTTGGAGTACTGGATTCCTGTTGTTTCTGTCGAGCATTTGAGTTCATTATTGCAGTACTTGGTGTGCTTTCAAGTTGTTGTTGTTGTCCAGTCATATTGCTTACAGTAACGTCCTGTTGTTGTCTTGAATTTGATGAAAGGACTGCTGCTCTTGATGTGTTCCCTATTTGCTGCTGCCGTTGGAGTGAAGTGTTAGCATTCTACAGTTGTTGTCCAGATTCAAAGCTAGCCAAATATTCCTGTTGCCTCTGTTGCATAATAGCTGGTTTGGTTGTCACCACATATTGCTGCCCAGATTCAGTAACACCTCCAGCTGCATTGTTTGCAATGAGTTGCTGCTGCTGGCCAGATTCAGTAACAACTCCAGCTACATTGTTCCGAGCGTTCGCATCATTTTGATGCATTGCATCCAAAAGCTGTCTCTCCTCTATTGAAAAAGCTGTGGAGGTTGTCACAAGTTGCTGATGTCCAGTATTTAGTGTTACTGTTGCTCCTCGATCATCAGTAGGAATTGTAGCTGAGGGGTTTGGATTAAGCTGCTTCTGCTCTACATCAAGGATTGTGTTGGTTTCAACTATTTGTTGTTGTCCAGTTATCACTGCTGCTGCTGTTCGATCATTAGCAACTGGAACTACCTGCTTTGTTTGTGTTGCTGCAACTTGCTTTGAGCTTCCAGTTGGAGAATTTCTGGGCAGAAAAACTGGAGTTCAGTTTACTTTTGGAAGTTGCTGCTCCTTCAGGTTTTGAAAATGGTGTTGAGTCAATCTCTTCACCAGCACTATAATGATCTTCTTCCTTGTCTGCCTCTTCCGATGAGTATCCAACAAAGCCATCTCCCCAATGCTCTTCATCATCCTCCTCACGCTGGTCACACCAAAACTTGGAATTAATAGCCATTTCCCTCACCTTGGTGAAACCTCCTTCTTTTGGTGAAACCTCCTTCTTTGAAGGGGATTTTCTACCTGTTACGACCTTCCAAACTCCCTCTTTTTTGTTCATATAACCTCTCTTACTATCCTCAAACACCTTCCCAGTACTATTTTCCATTAACAAACTCTTTTTCCCAGTTTTGTTATTCCCTAAATTCTGGGCAGCTACTGTTCTGTCAGAGATTTGCCCTGTATTTTTTTTTTGGTGCTCACCTTCAGCAGTATTTTTTGAATTAGCCTTAACATCATCTTTAACACCTGAAGGCATTGATCCCATATCCATATTACCAGTTCCTGCAGCATGCTGATCTCCTGCTGCTCTATTAATTGCTTCATTCACATGAGGTGCATTACCTATAGCTCGATCTGCAGCAGCTTTCAATGCACCATCAGTAGCTAGGTACATTCGTGCAAATATAGTAGAGGCAGGGATATCTCTAGAGGGTTTAGGAAGTCCCTTGTCCAACTTCAACACCTCTTCTATAGGCACAACTGGAACTGCAGCATGTGGTGCAGCTAAATCACTAACACCCACATCATCACTCCTAGCCACTACATGACTTTGTCCTGCATCACCCATGTCATTGACCTTATCTGAAGATTGATTTTGTATTTCATTACTCACTACTGCTGACTTCATAGGACCTTTGTCAATCTTGGAAGCTTCTGCTATCTGATTATCGTCCACTACACGATTCATAATTTTATCCTTGTTCCCAGTATCAATTAACATTCCACCCTCTGTGTGTAAAGCCTGTTGCTCTACAGGATTTTCCTTTGCCTCTTGATCACTCAGTTGCACAGCTCTCTTGGCATTAAGGTAATCCGTGGCATCACCAGCTAATTTGTCAAGACTGCCTAAGCCTTCCACTACATCTCCTCGAGCAACAGTTTCCTTACCATCCTCGATCCTCCTACGACATGAGTTTTCATCATGCCCTTGGTTCTTACAACAAGTACAGTATTCTGGTAGATTGTCAAACACTATCTGCTGATAATGTTCCACAATTCTCCCAAAATTCTTGTCAACGATATTTATTCGAACTCTCTTAGGATGTTTGTTTAATAAATTAATCAAGACTTTAACCCTTGCCGTACTTGGTCTTGTTCGATCTTGAGTCGCTTTATCAATTGCAAGAGGTTTCCCGACTGCTGAAGGTATAGACAATAAAGATTTCTTTGCGAAAAAATTTGCAGGCAAATCAGGCAAAGAAATCCATGCCACAACTCTTGAAGTTCTTCACGAGGATTGAATCCTAACGTCCATGGAAACGTCCTAAAGAAAAATTCATCTCCCTTCGCCTTAACATAACCAGTAGATCTTGACAAAACCTGAACATAATCTTCAAAGAGATCAAAACGTACCAAGATATGACAGAATTCTAGCTGTCCAACGTTGCAATAACCTTTGACGTCGAATTGTTTCGGAATTAACTGTCGTAACTTTTGAATATCTGGTTTGCCATATGAAAATTTGAGAATTACTGCCTGATGCAGTCCTTCTTCGATGGTAAAAGTGTTCACCTCTTCAACTGTGAATTCTACAGTTGGTTCTCCATGAACCATATGGACAGGAGTTAACTCCAGTTTTGTCGATGTTGCAACAGATTTCGTTTTTTGAATTAGCGCATCATAGGATTGTTTTGGCATCACGTTTTGGATTTGTTTCATTAGTGTTTTGATTTGTCTCTCCCACAGCCAAAGGCTGGGGAGAGCTCGCAGCAGCCATGGCTGCCTCAATTCTCGTCAAAACATTTGATGAAGAACTGAATTTCTGGAAAATCTCGATGCTACAGTGCACGCGAAAAAAGAAATTAAGATCTAGAACAATTGGCTATGGGTTTGACTATGAAACCAATTGGGGATTGTGCGCAAAGAGTAGGAGGTTCTTTTGACACCAATCTTGTAATTTTCCATTGTCGGACGCCAGAGTTATGGTCCGGTGAATAGTGATGGCGTCACTATTCACAGTCTTCCTAGAGATAAGGTGGAGAATTTTTATATATGGTCAGAACACTCTTCCCAAAAATTTGTTTTTAGCTTCAGCGTAGCCCATTAATTAGGCTAGAAAATTTAATTTACTCTTGATCTTGTTTCGTTTTTTTCTTCATGTCATAATTAAGGAACATATACACAGGTTTTGAGGTATGCAAAGTAGGTAAATTTTTAGGTAAAAGAAGGATAACATATGAAGACTTTGAATTGTATGTAAATGTGTTGGGAATAAACCCCCTACCAAAATAATATTCACTGTAATAAAAGCGAAATAATAATATAACACCGAGATACGGTAATTAACAAGAATAAAAGAGTAACAATGACACCAAGATTTTTACGTGAAAACCCTTTTGAATAAGGGAAAAACCACGACCCCGAGAAGAGCAACTGATATCACTATAGTAAGGAATTTATACTTTGTAGGCCCGAGTAAAAATACTACAAAGACCACTACAATACTCAAAAGAAATAACCCTCTTTTGATATTTCACCTCACTACAATATCGCTCACACTCTCTATTTTCTTCACAGACTATTTTCTTATATCTTGTCTGTGAAACCTCACTCTTTCTTTCTAGCTCTCAGATATATTTTCCTCTGAGATTGATGATAAAAAATGAGAGCCAAAGCTCTCATTTTATAGGGAAAAATGAGCCTCCCATACTTGATATTTCAATGTTCTGCAACCTACTTTCTTTGACAGACAAAGAAAACGTGGGCTGTTGCTGCCTATATTGAAAACTGAAGCAAGGAAGAAAACTTCTTCCTTAAATTAAGGGGCTGGACCCCACAAATCTCCCCC